AAATTTATCTGAATTTTTTCCTATACGAAAAACAGCCCTGCACCGTAATTGCAACGTTGTTTATGACGAAAAATTGAAATACCGTTTTTCATATATATTCATAAAAAGTCAAAATGAACCTTCGTCTGTTATTAACTTAAACAGAAAAGCTGTGAATATGTGAAACTGATACAATCGACCTGAAAACGAAATATTCCTTTATTAATTTTCAGAAAGAAAATAGGAAAGAGGAAGAATAAGAAAATTATATCGTAAAAAGCGCGAAATAAGAAATGAATTTTCAAAATTTTGATTATTTATATTTTTAAAAACTTGTGTTGCTGAAATTAAAGGAAAATTAAGTCCTTCATATTATTACTGTCAAGCAAAAAATACCGCTTCTTTTTTCAATTTGTAAGAATTATTACTGATAATTAACACTTTTCTGTTCTTGGTTTATCAGTAACCATTTTAGACATTATTTTGATAACCTTTTATGTAATATCAACATTGACCTTAGTTAATTAATTATAATTTTGCTATCAAATAACAAATATATATACTCATGTATCTACTTATGATTTTACTCAAAAGAAAAACTCGAAATTTTTTGTGCAAAAATTTCACGGAAATACGTTTATTCTTATAGCTCACGTTCTAGTCACGCACGTGTGAGCGGTGAGACCAATCGTCCCGCACTCTTTTTAAAGAGTATATAATACCAAGACTTTTAAAATACTTTTTCATACTGCTGTCAATTATATATGTAGATAATTGTTTTAAAAAAAAATCTAAAATAAAATTTTTCAATGCCGAATATATATAGGTTTTAAAAACATTATCCTGCCTATTGTAACGTTTCAAGCGAGCACATACATTTTTAAATTCTGTACATTCTTTACACTCAGTATTAAGTATTTATGTCGTTGACTATTTATTGTACAAAGATTGCATTTTGATAAGCTTGATATTTACTATTAAACCACCCACAAACTTTTTAATCTTGATATTAAGTGATTAAGTAAGTACCTAGTTTTTTTTTTGTGAAAACCATGTAATTATTTCGTAATTAAATTAAGTATTTTAAGTAAAAGAAGTGGTCAAAACGATTAAATAATTCGCCAAGGTAAATTTAGAGCAATAGAAATAGTTATTTCATACTTTCAAGGCTACGACATTTCTTATTATTACTGTATTAGATTATGTTGTGTATGTATCTACCTAATGATTTCGAGAAGAGATAAAATCGTTATTATTGATTGGAAACAGTTACGTGAAGGGTTGGCTTACATAATTCGATAGTTCCTTCATTCCACTCGGAAACCTTTTTCTGTCAGGTACCAATCGTCCATTTAAATCCCTTTCCCTTTCCAACCAACAATCATCAACATTAATGTATTCATAGCCCACGTCTCTGTATCCTTCGGCGACTAATATGTCAGTCATTGTTCTAAATAAATTTTCGCTAAAATGTGTGCAATTAGTTTCGGTTTTACTTTGCGCGAGAGACGACGAGAAGGTCCTGACTAGCTCACCTTATACAATTTTCTGGGTCATTTTTGCAATCGGTATTGCATCGGAACCGTTCCCATGCCAACCATCCCATAGGTGGAGTTCTAGCAAGCCCATTTTCCAACAGGTGGACTTTAGTTGAAAACAAACAAACCACACTTATTAGCGCACACCATAATTTATACATTTCAATTTTGTTATTTAATAATAAGTAATAATTAATTCAAACGATGTACTAATGACAGCATCTGTAATTATCAATCACACATTTACACTTTACTCCGCAAGTCTTATTAGCTACGACGTACGTTAATTTATTATTAATTAGACTTTTGGTTCGCTTTCTCGTTATTCTATAACAACATGTTTCGTTTGTTTGTTGTTTGCTTTCAGGTCTGCCGTTTTAAGCTCCTTATTCCGCTGCCGGTGAGCTTACGTATAAACGGACTGAAATCAAAGGCAAGACCATGAGTCTCATGAACCTCCGCTGACCACTTCCTAGAGCGAATTTCTTCCACTACTACTACAATAAAGAAGTGTGGGCACGCGTGTTTTCCTCGGAAACAGCTCTCTAAAAAACAAATATGCTTATCATATGCCACTGTGACACGTCTATCTGAAAACTTTCATTATCTTCATATTCGGTCTAACTTCAGTCAAAACGCTCTTTTAGTATGAGATAAAAAATGAATATTCCTGATAATACATTAATAAAGGATCTGTACGTTAAGGAGTAAAACAGTTCCAAAAAATAGGTAACGAAATTAAATTGTTTGCTTCCATTTATTTATTCTGGTTTCTTCCAGCATCTTAATAACTATTTTCAATTACCACCTTAACGATAAATTAACATTGATATTGAAAAGCTGGAAGCACAGGCATGCGTAAAAGCTCGGGAGAAAGTTCGATCCTAACGCTACCTTCCCCTTTCCATTATCAGAATTTAAAATATAAGTAAAAATTAAATGTGAAATATGTATGTATTGACTTAAACCAACCAGTCTGAGGACTGACGACCCTATGACGATGATGAAGCATTAACTAGTTTCACAATTCGTATAACTAGAAGAAATTTAAAAATTTATAAATAAATATATTTGTTATGGAAATCCATAAAAACCATAAATATAGGGGCTAGGATGGGCTATCAACAACTGACGCTACCAGTATAGATTCTTTTGAGTTGAATAATTTTATTCCAAAATAGTGATAGTGAAAGTTAAACAGTGTGATAGAAAATGGAAAAAGGACTGAAAGAAGTAAAACGACATAATTAAGGGAAAAATGTAAATTCAGGTAGGACAATGAATTTAAAGAAAATAAATTTAAAGCGAATGGAAAGAATGAAAGTAGAAATATAAATGACATCATTGTAGTGGATTTGATCAGAATTGTTATAAAGTAAATATTAAATGAGAAACGACAAGGAGGAGCAAGTTATTGCCATGAGGAAATGTCAAAGAAAATAGGTGGAATGGAAGAGGATTGCATCAAAGAGTGACTCGAAATGAATAAAAAAAATTGAAGGAGAATGAGAAAGATGAAATAAAAGGAACGAAAAAGAAAAATGAAGAAAAGAAGAAAGTACTAGCAAAGTAGCAATAATAGAATAAAAGTAATTGAGTGCTAATTAGAAAGAAAAAAAAATGGAAAAAAAGATGAATTTTATGGTTTTTGGAATAGAACTGGGCGAAGGAAACTGAAAAGTAGAAAAGAAAAAGTGGAGGTATAAATAACAATTTTTAAAGCGTAGAAAGTAAAGGGAAAAATGTCTAAAGTCGAAAAGATAGAAGTATTAAAAAGCAGCAGAAATTTAAAATAAACTAATCTATAGATAAAAGAATTAAGACTAGGCGGTGGAAAAAGGAACATAAAAAGATTTATATGTTAAATAATAAAAGAAGAAAAGGAGAAGAGCCCTAAATTGGTAATAAAAGAGATACAAAAAGGTGCAGATAGGGAAAAATGTAAATACGAGATGTGGAAACTAGAACATGGATAAAAATAAGGTATTTCAAAACAGAGGGGAGTCTGCAAAAAGGATGAAGAGTAGTGGAAAGAAGATAAATTTAGTTGCATGGAACATGGACGGAAAGTAGAGACAGTATCTATTTTGGAAACATTTTTGGATAATAATTGGAATTGCTTTATACCTAGTACTGCAAGGACAGGAAAAAATGATATCAGTTAGTTAAAGATCTGATTAGTGGAGTTTTAGTGGTGGTAATATTGCAATATAATTTTTGTATATTTAAACGAAGGAAAAAACGTCCTGTGAGCCATGAGATTTGTTCATATAGATAGGGAAGATTTACGTTTTGTAATATAAAGGTATGTTCATAATAAGAGGTTTTGTTACCAGTTAGTGTTTTTGTAAAAATAAATTAAGGTTCCAATAAAGATACATATATAAAAAAATGGCTCTCTGGATATATGTTAGTGGAGAGTGCATAAATTATTAATGTTTTAGAAAAGTCAGTTTCAATATTGTAAATCTCTTCGGGGCCCCTTGATTTTGGCGCCAGAGACAAGTTTTTCCCTTCTCCCCCTTCCCCACCTTCAAAATTAATGAAATGTTGACACCAATTTTAGGATGTACTTTTCCCTTTTACCTAAAAATCAAATTTAAAATATTAACTCTAACTATAAAATTGACGTCAGTGGAAATACGAAAAATGTAAATTTGATACTTATATTTTTATACTTATATTTATACTTTTAATTATTTCTTTGTAAGTTTCTGATTCTTTTGAAATACCTATTTTTAAAAGTACTACCTTTTTATGTACATTGCCGTAAATTCGAAAATATTTTGAGAATCCTTGTCTCTTTCTGTAATGAGTTTCTAGATTTGTTTAATTTACTTACAAGCCTAACTGTTTTCGATAGTTCCAGCAGATTTGATTTGGAATTTTTTTCCTGGCGGGCTGTTTGTTTAAAATAAAAATATACATTTTGAAATTATTCACTTTAATGAATAAAAAATGTCAACTTACTTGTCAAATTATAGATTTTCAAATTTTCTTTCCAACCGTTTGAAGGCATTAGTTACACAACAGTACCTTGTATAAAAAAAATATTAATCTATGAAAAAGTAACCAAGTGTTTTGATTTTTAATATTTATCTTTTCACAACCTATATACTAAAATCGTTATTATTGATTGGAAANATACTTTTATCGATAACTGCTTATTAGTTGGCTTGAAAGAATCGACACCAAAAGTATCTGCTTGCACTGTTTTATCCCTGATCGTAGCGCGACACTGTGTTATTACTTCATCAACACCATTAGATATTACATGAAAATCAAATGAAGTTCTAGGAAAATGAACACCAAAAACTACATTAATCGAAATTTAGGATTTAATTACTGTGGAGGGATTAGGAGCTTTCAACACGTAACTTTTGGAGTTTTGTCTCGCTAAAGGAAAAACAGAATCATTTGTGTCCGCTAGGCCAAATACCACCCCTGTCCTACTCTTAATTGTCTATATTTTTGTAATTTCAGATCTCAGCTTCTCTTATTATTTTTATTACATTTTGTTGCTATTATGTGTTTATCTTGGTACGTACTTGAGAACTAAATAAAAAAAATCCAGTATTTTTAGCGTTATGCGCATACGTCAATAAACGTATATATTATTTTCGTTTTTATAGGTTGCTTTTGCCTCATAAAATTTATTAAATTGGTTTTTTCCTTTTTCTTATTAATTCAGTGTTGAGTTAGGCACGTTATAGAATAACATAATATAAGATTAGATTATAATAAGAATTGTTTATTGTGTAAATTAAGGATTAAATTACCATAGGAATTAGAAACAGGTACGATATGAATTTCCATTCGTAAACGACAGATAAACTTTCACACATCAGATGCTAACGACATTGAATTTTATTGGATTAGAAAACGACATCAACGGAAACAAAATTGAACTCAAATTTCACTTAATATATGTGAAATCCGATCATTTAAAATAATCTGCTTCTTCTAATTTCTGTTGCAAAACGATACGTTTTAGAACGTTTCTAATTGTTTCCTTACTTCTAATGATGCACAAAATACTGTACATTATCTAATCAATTACATAATTACAAATCATTAAAACAGTGACATGATAATTACCATTTTCCAATAAAAAATAAAATCCGAGCTCAAACTTTATCCACATGTACAAATTTGAATTAAAATACCTTCAATTTCTACCTTTATTAGAAGTGGAATATTTTCTTTAAATTTAAATTGGATTGCCCTTGAGACAGGTACATAAGCCTATTCAATAAAAATAAGAATCATTAAAATCGGTTCACAATCCGAGAAGAAATCGCATGACATAGACACACGCAAACAAATACAAATTGACAATCTCTACCTTTTATTGAAATCAGTTGAAAATTTGGACAAGAAAGTACAGTATTGAAGATATTTATAAAATAAAAAACGATTGAAAAGGCTTATCAATCTCCTTATTTGTTTTTGCCCGGTTTGAGTCTCCCAATTAAGAGATAATCGATAAAGTCGTAGATTCTACCATAAACTATTAAAAATCAACGAATCAAATACAATAAATAATTGAAATAACTTTTTGTTAATTATTAAGTGTACATAATAAGTAGTGATTATTGAATGTCCGTAGTGGGTTCAATATATTTGGATCTATGTTCGCAAAACGCAGTGGAGGTCTAGGTTTTTGTTCAATTCAATCGCACGGTCGCATACACAAACGCCACGTGGAGATGCAGGTAAGGATGTTTGGGAGGTATGTTAAAATGCTCCCGAGACAAATAAACATTTGGAAGAACGTTCCTCATTCAATTCTAAAACTCTTGCAAAAATTACAAGTCGATTCACTAAACCGTTAAAAAGTTATTGAAATTTTAAAAAATTGTAATTTTACACGTCATTTAATGGAGATTCGTTAACCGATTACAGATTAAATTTATTTTTATTAACAGAAAAAAAGCTACCAGAAATTTCAAACTTTTATAATAAGTAACTTGAACTCTGGAGAATTACTTGATAATATAATGATAATATTTATAATTGTCTGGAATAAATGCAATTTTAAAGTTTTAATTATTATTTAAACATATTAAAAAGTTTTACGCTCATTATTAATAGTGATTGAAACTAAATATTTTTTTTTCGAAGTTGAAATCAAGGCATATTCACTGCCAAAAGTCACTTAAAAATTGTCCATATTATTCTTCATTTCTTAGTTTATTATAGTTTTTGGTCAAATTCCAAATTTTCTCTCAAACCGTATACTTTTTTTTAGTATAGATAGTATTTATTTACATCAAGATATGTTGCAAAACCTAATTAATCACGAATTTCTAATTTTATGTACTCTTGTCTCCGATTGTACCTCCCAAACATCTTTAAGGCAGTCAGTGAAATAATGAATAATAATCTCCTTCCGCGGGTTCCTCAGTTAGACAACTATATACTTTCAGCAGCAGAATCCAATTTACTCCCGCCGTTAATGACAATTTGTATGA